GGCCGGGCCGTTGGGCGGGCGCCCCCCGCGACGCCTCGCCCGCGCCTTTGTGGAACGCGCGCGGGCTCCTGCGCCGCTCTTACTTTGACGCTCCCGACGCGCGGCTTCCCGCGCGTGTGGCTCCAGCCGCGGCGACTGACGAAGCCCTTCCCGAGGCCGTCACGTGACCTCCGCCGTGGACGCCGACGGTCAAGCGGCGCACTTCGACCTGCCTCGCGGGTCGCTCGTGCGCGGGGCTCACCCGGGTAAGCCGCGTCGGCCGGGAGCCGAGACGTGCCCCGGGCGTCACGCGGACATCCCGTCACAGATGGACACGCTTCCAAAATATCGCCTTTCGTCGATGAATATTTGCGATCGCAGAGCAGTTTTGCGCGCGCAAAGGCTTGCGTCTCCATGTTATTGGACGGCGAGTTTGCGGGGATCGCAAAGATTGAAACGTCGGCTCACCCGGCCGCTCCCCGGTCTCGTCGCGTTCCCATTTTCAGCTTTTTCCGCAAAGGGCCGCCGGATATTCCGCCACGGTTTCGGCAAAGCTCCCCGCGAAGGCCAAGGTGACGCCGCAGGGGCGCGGCGCCCTCCGGCAGACGATCGGCGGCGACTCCGCCCGCCCTCAGACGGCCGACTTGGCTTTCCGCGGGGGAGCGCGGCGCTCTCTTCCAAATCAAATTGGAGGTACAAGACGGGCCACTGATCATTTTAGTCTTGCATTGCATCAGGTCAAACAGAGCGTTACTTGTGTCCCCGCCCACAAATTGCACCGCCCCCTTCAACTCGATGGCGGCGATGCTGTCCACAACGGATGGAGTCAACGGGGGAAGGAGAGGGAGCAAGGATGCTGGGTGACGGCGATGAAGCCGCCTCCTTCCTGTCTCTCTCTCTCTCTCTCTCTCTCTCTCTCTCTCTCGAGTGCGTCAGAGCCATAAAAGCCCCCCCCCTTTGTCCGGACGCACCCAGCAGCGAAGCGCCCTCCTCACTGCGCACGCCTCGCGCCAAGTCCCAGCGCGCTTTTACGCGCGCGTCTCGACGGACCCGACCGCACCTGATCCGGTCGCGATGGACGACGACGACGTCCCGTCCCAGCTGTCCGGCACCAACTCCAGCGGCGACGGCGGGCGGGCGCCCTGGGACGTCGGGGAGTCGGGCGCGTACGCGGCCGTGCGCGGCGTCATGACCTCGGCGTACGCGCTGATCGTGCTGGTGGGCGCGCTGGGCAACGGCACGCTGCTGAAGATCTTGGCGAGCGCCGGCGCCATGAGGAGCGCGCCCAACATCTTCATCGGCAGCCTGGCGGCCGGAGACCTGCTGCTGCTGGTCACCTGCGTGCCGGCGGACGCCTTCCGCTTCTTTTCCGACCGCTGGATGCTCGGGGAGGCCGCCTGCAAGCTCCTGCCCGCCGTGCAGCTCACCTCCGTCGGCGTGTCCGTCTTCACGCTCACGGCGCTCAGCGCCGACAGGTAAGGCCGCCTCTTCTGCTTTGCCCTCCTTTCGTCACCGCCGTCGCCATCGCCTGCCCAAACGGAGTCCCGCGGTCCGCGCGCACCCCTGTTCAGATTCCATTGACACTTACTTTGCGCGCATGCGCGCACACACACACACAGCTCCAACTGCAAACGATTGCACGTACCTTGAATGGGTCCAGGCCAGAGATTCGTGACGGCGCGGTCGCCTCTTTTGACTGTGTGACGGAGTTGAATTTCTAACTGGCCACACTGCTGAGGTTCAGTCTGCTTCTTATTTCATTGCAATTCCTTTTATTGCTCCATTTGTTTTTACGATTTGGCATTTGTTTTTCTGTTGGTCAAATATCAGATTTTGTGCTTATTTATAGAATGTTTTTCACCAACTGTCAGCATTGGTCTTTTTTTTTTGTTTTGTTTTTTTGCGGTTGGTCCGAGGGGAGAGCGTACGTGTGTCACGACGCTGGTGGAGGAGGACCTCAAAAGGCAGGCAGGCAGGCAGGCGGGCGGGCGGGCGGGAGGAGCAGGATGAGCTGGACAGACCGCGTGAACAAAATGACAAAACAAAGTCCAGAACCAAGTCCTGAAATCAACACGAATCCAAATCAACAAAGAAAAGCCCACGGCGTAAGCAAAAAGCGTGACGTGACGAAGCTCCAAGCAGAAATGCACGGCGCGAAGGCACAAACCCGAACCAACAGATTCAGCGACAGAAACGACGACCCGACGCCGCCGCCGCGAGTCCTTTGAACGGAGAGCCGACTCGTGACGAGATGACCGACAGGTGTGGCGCTGCGGCGGGAGCCCCTCGGTGCCACCTGCTGGTCCCGAACAGATCGAGCGCGACAATGTGGGATGGAGTCACGCGGCCATCGGGATGTCCCGGGTATGCGACGAGACAACTGAAAATCTGTGGAATCAAGTTTGGGGCTGGGGTGGGGTGGGGGGAACGTGAGCATTTTCCTCCGAGAGGTGCGAATACGAGGCCGCAATGGCAATCTTCACGTTTGTCCGTCGAGGTGCCGCCTTGAAACGTTTCATCTGGAGCGTGTACCCGAAGCACCGGCGACCTTCGTCACTGTGCAGCAGCTGGCGCAAGATGAGCTGCCATTTCCTGACGCCTTCTCACAGTCACATGATGCGCTCCCTCCGGCGACTTACCAGAGGCGGAGGATGCGTGCGGGAACGCGCCCACCATTACCACTCAAGGTCCTAATGGGCCAAACGCTGACGCCAGACGCCCTGCGAAGGGGAAGAGGAACAAAACAAAGGGCAAAAAAAAAAAAGGCGTGACAACAGACCAAGTTGGGCAAGGGCCGTCGAGAAACACGCCGCCATGTGCGCGTACGTGACCGGCGTAGAACGAGGACGCTTTTCCTCAGCTGGCACTCCGATGGGGTCCAACGAGCAATTTTCTTTGAGTTCGGTCCCGGACGGGTCAGAGCTCCAGACGGATTTGCGACGTTTTGGAGATGGATTGGGGACGAGCCGTTTTGGTGCTTGCCGGGGGGGGGCCTCGCTTGGGCCTCTCAATTTCTTCCCATCACAATTCCACCGACGGCACGCTCGTTTAAGTGGCCGCGCGTGACGAACGAGGCCACCCGGCGGGCCGCTCTGTCGACCGGTCATCAGCGCGCGCGTCCGAAAGCCGAGCGCAGCAGGAAGTCATTGGCCGTCTTTAACGAGCCCATCGAGGTCTCCTCGGGGGCCCGAAGCCGCATCAGTCCGATGACTCATCGCTTGAGGGGTTTTTTTTTGGTCACCGCAAGATGGCCTCTCCCTTGGTGCCATGGAAACTTCAAGTTTGCGGGACCTTGGAGCTTTGGGCGTGGTCATTTGTGTATTTTGTGCCGCGGAAGCTCATGGTAAAAGCAGCCGTCTTATCCTCGGCGGACGTGATCGCGCGACGCCTCCGCTTCGTCGTCTTCATCACATGGGTGCATCGTTCCAGACTGACGCCGCCCCCGTCCGTGGAACAGATTGGCGGAGCGCCTCGCGGCTGCGGAGAACTTGGATTTGAACAACATCAAAGTCTTAGGCCAACATTTTCCCCTTTGATTGACCTTTCGCTCCTTCTACCCCCCCCCCCGAAAAAAAAACTAACCGACTGGCACTCTGGTCCCAGTTCCCACCCCCAACCACCCCCGCCCTGTTGCCCTCGGCGACAGCAAATTGGAGCCGGTCCCAAGCCCGAAAAAACGGGGAGCCGTTCAGTCCGGAAGGGCATCCGTCCGTCAAAGCCGACGCCAACATTTCAGCCCAAAAACATTGACAAAGCACGGGAAGAGGACACAGTCAGTGCGGCTAAGCACAAAGCCGCTAACCAAGTCTGTGTGTGTGTGTGTGTGTGTGTGTGTGTGTGTGTGTGTGTGTGCGCGCGCGGGCACCTACCTGCGCGCACGCTACGTCAGGTACAAGGCCATCGTGAAGCCCATGGACATGCGCACGTCCAGCGCGCTCTTGTGGACGTGCGCCAAGGCCGGCGCCATCTGGCTGCTGTCCGTCCTGCTGGCCATTCCGGAGGCCGTCTTCTCCCAGGTCGTCGCCATGCAGGTAACGCGCGCTCGTTGCCACCGCCGGATCAGGCTACGCCCGTCGCGAGGCCAAAGAGCAGGAGGGAGGCCGATGACCCCGACCGGCAGAGAAGGCGGAAACGCGCCAAATCCGCCGAGTCGCGACAAAAGCGCCGAGCGGCACTGAAGCGCGTCTCTTCCTTCTGCGTTGTCCGCCCTCTCAGGGCGGCGAGAACGGGACCTTCCTCAACTGCGTGCCGTACCCTCTGTCCGAGCGGACGCACCCCAAGGTGCACGCCGCGGCGCTCTTCCTGGTCTACTTCCTGCTGCCGCTGGCCGTCATCTCCGTCTACTACTACCACATCGCGCGCACGCTCATGCGCAGCGCGCGGGACATGCCGGGCGAGGTCAGCGAGCACACCAAGAGACAGGTCAGACTCCGCCCACTCGCCGCGTGGCGGGAAGCCGCATCCGAGCGCACAGCCTGCGTACTGTCTTCGGGTGTCGTTGACTGTGATGATGATCGTGATACGCACGCACGCACGCACGCACGCCTTCTCACGTTGTGTCCACGGCACCATCGCATCGGGTGAAGGGCTGCCTTTTGTGCGCACCGACTTCTAAAATCGGGAAATGTTGTGCGTCTTTGGCAAGCGCGGCGCTGGCCTGACGGTCGGAGGATGTCCCGCCGACAGTCCGGGGGGGGAAATACGTAGCCAGGCGCACATTGTGACCGAAAGTGCAACAAGCGACGCGGCTTTGGCTGAGGGAGTCCCAAAAAGGGCCCCGTTCTCTTATGTGCGAGTCAAGCCGTCAGCAGCGGCAACGCTTCCAGCGAGACCCGGCCAACAAACGTCACCGCGACGGCGACGCTCGGCCGCGCGGACTCGACATCCCACGCGCGCAAATACGCTCAGGCTTCAACCCCGCGGCGACAGGAAAATGCATCACGCACGAGGAGCCGCGCTCAAGTGTCGACGAGGCCGCTTGGGAATATTTACGACGGGGCGACCTTTCGCAGGCAGCTCATCTTTTTATTCCTTCGACTCCTCGGATGACCGCCGCGCGAAAAAACGTCCGGCGAGTCGGCGCGAGAAGACGACGAGCGGCAAGTCCAAACTCTCCTTGGCGTACGCCGCCGCGTTTTGGGCGGTTGGACGCTCGCGACGTATGCCACGCAAACGTCCGCAAAGCGACGCCTCTGGCCAAAGCCGGAAACTTGGAGCGACGCGCAATTGCCACAAAGGTGCGATCTCTCCGCCAGGCGCATCAGCGCAGGCCCGTCGCCGCAGACATTTAACGCAGACACACACGGGCACTTCTAATCGCGCAGGCGCGCGCACGGGCACCCGAGTGCATTGACGGCGGGAGGTCAAAGGTGACCTTTAGTCATTGAGATAACGTGACCTTTCTCGCTCCAGAAAGACGGAGAAGGAGCTCGCTTGGCTTTGAGCCACAAGCGCATTCGCCGACATGAAATAAGTGCGATGGGGGGGGGGACTCCCATCCTCCCATCCTCCCATCCCGTACGCGCCGGTCTCGAGGCAGAATCCGTCCCCGGAAACGGCCTCGCTTCGACCGTGCCGAGCACGCCCCGGGAGCCCAAGCTAGCAGCTAACGCGCGGTTTCCCCCCCTCCCCCGGGCCGTAGATGGAGACGAGGAAGCGGCTGGCCAAGACGGTGCTGGTCTTGGTGGCTTTGTTCGCAGCGTGCTGGCTCCCCAACCACCTGCTCTACTTGTACCGCTCCTTCCGCTACCAGCGGACGGACGAGTCGCTGGCTCACCTCCTGCTCACGCTGCTGGCGCGCATCCTCAGCTTCTCGTCGTCCTGCGTCAACCCGTTGGCGCTCTACCTGCTCAGCGACAGCTTCCGGCGACACTTCCAAAGGTTTGGGCGCCGGCGGGTCACCTGCGCACACGCACGCCAACGCTGAAACTCGCACGCTCAAATATCTCGCATGCAGATTCTCTCACACAAATACGCGAACTCGCGCGCGGGCGTGATGACACCCAAAATTGGACATGATGCGCCTTCTGTGTGCGTGTCAGTCAGCTGCGATGCGGCGGCGGCGGCGGCGGAGGAGGCGGACGTCCCGACCGTCAGGCCAGCTACCTGAACAGCACGTCCCACATCCGGCTGACCTCCGTCAGAAAGGCCGCGGCGACCGGCGCCAACCGGCAGGAAGCGTGAGCGCGCCGACGGCGAGCGGGATGAGGTCACGTGACGCCGGCCGGGATGCCGCGGCCGGGAAGGGAGCGCGACTTCCTCGACCCGGCCGCTCTTACTTTGCTCTCGTTCCTTCATGTTGACGGCCATCTTTGTTTGGTGATGTCACCGCGCGGCGCGGCCAAAAAGAATAAAAAGTCAATCCCGCCAGGATCCGGGAAGGAGCTTTTTCCCGTGGAAACGGCCGTCCGGCCTCGGCGGCTTCCCGGACGCCCTTTTCGAAAAGGGGTCGGGCCGAGCCGCGAGCCGGTCGGGTCCCGGCTGCGCTCGGCCGTTCCCGGGTGCTTGCGATGACCTTTCCTGAAACCATGAGCGTCGGACAAAATGCATGAAGCGGCGCGCGCTGACGTGGCGCGGCAACGCTTTGGGATGGAGACAAATGCGCACGCGCCTTTCTCCCCATCCCAAAGCCACCCAAAAAAATCATTGCAGCTCATTTGACATGACGTCGCCCCCTCAGACATGTTAAGCACAATAACGCGCGCTCAAGCTATGCGCAGTGAGCTCACTCGGCAAAGAAAGCTGGCACCGGCAAGTGTGCTACTCGCAAGCGTGTTGTCAACACGTTAGGCCAGCGCTTCCCAAGCAGTGTTCTGCGAAACGTGATCCTGTGCGCGGCGTGCGTGCGTGCGTGCGACCTTTATTGGGTCGGGTGGGTGGTCCTTGTCTCTCCGGAGAGCTGACTTTTTTTTTGTCTGAAAGGAGGCACGCCGAAGAGAGCCACTTACGCACGCACGCGCTCTCTCTCTCTCACACGCACATTCCAAAAGCGGTAATCGATTCGATTCCAATTATCAGGATGCGATTCAAATCATTGAGCTTTGCGCTGAAAGGAACGAGAGGGATTAGTTTCACCCGCTCCCACAACAGAAACAGAAACAGAAACATCCACCCGTGTGAGCGCACGTGCGCCGACACGCACTTCGGCGAGAGACGCGCCCTCGCACACGTACGAAACGACCAGCTGCTCCTTCCCCGTCAGCCGTCGATCATGGCGAGCGCCCCCACCCCACCCCTCCCTCGGGAGCGGTCGATATTTGAGCCGAATGCCGCCACCCAGCCGCCGCC